ATTTGCAAAAATTTCTACATTTCTGTTTTTTTCTGTCAAGATGGGGTGCTGAGTGTACATTAATGAGAAATAAAATGAACTTTTTTGATTTTAGTAAATGGCTGCAATGAAACAAAGAGTGAAACATTTAAAGGGGTCTGAATACTTTCCGTACCCACAGTAAGACTCACATTTCAGCTCCTTGAATGGTGACACTACAGAGAGGACTATTTGAAGCAGACGGTACGGTGGACAGTTACAGTAGAGAGTTGTGTAGACATCCTAAAAGAAGACCGCTGAGTGGACAGGACGGCTTGGAATAGAATAATGTATTTATTGTCGTTGCATACATTTATTACTGTTTTCTGGAGCCATTTCTGCATTCAGGTCACACTGCCCCCCCCCCCCCAATGCTCAGAACACAAAAAAACACACTGGTGAACGAATGAATTGGGGATTAATGTAAATTTAGTCCCCCATTTATACTCTGCGCCACAGATATTACGTTTCAAAAGATAATCTCTCTAAAAGAAGGAAAACATACTTAACAACTTGAATGACTGTTTTAAATTGTTTCAATCTGTACAAACACAACGAAACCTAAACTGAATGTTAATCTGTAAATTTGATGAAGGCCAATACGGATGTATTTGTCTTATGCGTGTCCTTATGTGTCTTCCTGACACATAAGGATCTGATATAGTAATCTGATGTCAACATATTAAAAAATATATTTATATTTAGTTAGGGTTAACAACAATAACAAACGAAAACACGACGATAATAACTAATAGATATACAACAAATGTATGTTATATTGTAAAGACATAAATTTTCCTCAAAAGCAAAGCCAACGATAGGTTCTCTCTTTCTCTCAGGACAATAAGATACAGAACAAGACGTCGATCACCATCCGTCAGCATCATACCGTAGATTATAGTTACTATGGCTTCAAAACTATCACAGCTGAAACAGGGAACTCCCTCTCCATTACACCTCATGTATACATGTACATTATACTCTTCACAACCAAAGCGTTCGCCGTGAACTCTGTTTAATTATAACTGCCTGCCAGTCTTAAGACCGAGGAACGCGTAGTGGTACACAGTGTGATCCAGGACAGCTAAATGTATGTCCAGTTCATGTTACAAGAAGGGGTCAGCGTGCGGGATGAAGACTAATAGCTGTAGCCAGCTGTCACAGGTTTTACATGTTCATAAGGCTTCTGGATCAATGCCCATCATGAACAAACAGGCTACCGCTAAGGAAGAAGCTAACATGTGAGGATAGCTTTAGATGCATACACTGTTAAACCTGCAGTAACTGAGTTTTTGGCCACTTGGGGGCCGAAGTTGTGAACACATCATTGACATATCAACACCTTTTAAGTTGACATGGCTGATTATTTGCATGTCCAGCAGTTAGAGAGCAACATTATCATTTATTTAGAGTCGGGTTTCAGGTCACCTGATGAATGTAAGTCCAACATTTACTCCTTTAGCTCTGAAACTCACTATAACGCTCTGCCAGTGATTCTCTGTAGGTTCACGACTTCGCGTTACTCCCTCTCACATTGTCATTTGATACTTTATTGATCTCAATTCAACTAAATCTGATTTCCATATAAGTACACTGAGAATAGTTAAGAGTAATGACGTCTAACAAGAAGTTCAACAAACCAAAAAGCCAAATGTCCCGAATCTTTAAAGGCCCTGCACAGCCTCACAGGTGTTTTTAATTACTCTGACTAGACTCGGTAACTTTGGACCAATGAGAATGATAACAAGGTAAGTTGTCCCGCCCTAACAGGTGCAACAAAACTAATAGGTGAATGAGGGATGTGTCAGTCAAGCACGACTTGTTCACTCCCACATCTCCCTGAGCAGAAGTCCAATCAGGCAACAAGTGAAAACACCTGTGTGGGGGGGGGGGGCTTTAGCTGGACAGCCTGTAATCAATCAGGACAAACAAATCAGAAGTGAGTCAACAGGAGACAAACATGAAGTTGTTGATTTTGAGGGATGCTACGCCACAATCTGAAACTATAAATAAGCTAATACGTTGCTGACATGACATGGTTGGCTATCAGCTGCTTCATGTTTTAAATGTGGATGTGAAAGTACTCGTGTAAAGCCTTGAAGCTGAGTCCACCAACCCCATGACCAGCTGCTGCTTCTGAGTCAAGAGACATTTATATTTAAGGCTATATGGAAGCTATCTAGCTATCTGAAATGATGCTATCAGGACTCCGTGTACTCTCCTTTTTCCGGCACCATCCTCCATGACGGCTTTTATTGCTCTATTTTAAGGCCCTGAATCACACACCAAACCATTTCAATCTCATAATGTCACTTGTGACCTCAAGTATCTGGAAGCTTTGTTAACTTCGGTGACCAGAGAACATCAAGTTTAAATTCCCAAAGCATCCCCACTGCGTGCAAACTGTGAAGATGTTTTGTCCCGCAGTGTTTTCTGCATCGTGATGATAGTTTTGCTCTTGACTTTTACCAAAAGTCTGATCTCATTCCAAGTCTAAGCAAAGGCCACGGTAAGAATCTAGCCAGGACGTGTCACTGTTCAATGTAATACGAACCCGGTCAAACACCACGAGTGAAACCAATGGAAATCCAGTGCTTGGCTGGGCCATCACTGATCACAATGGTAATGCATTCTTATTGGAGTTTAAGTCCCAAAATCACAATCATCCAAGAGATAAAAAATATAGAAAATAAATAAAATCCAGCACACGAAACCGCTCTGTGACATTTGGGCTGTGAAGGTCTGCTGAGACAGTCACATATTCATGGCGTACTCTCTGGCCGTCGTTGGCAGACGTCTGTGTGAGCCTGTCCGCACTCAGCTGCTCTGATTGGGACACGAGGAGGGTTTGGATGCTGTCTAAAGACATATAATAATGCTGCAGCATCGCCTGTGCTGACACGTAAACAGCAACCACAGAGGATATGTTGCCAGAGTTAAATAACACAACATTAAAAGGTTGGTCCATATTGCCTAATGACCATTTATTGGTTTGTTTACGTTACATCCAAGAAGGTAAATCCTAAAGGTTCTGTGATTTTGCTCTCTGATTCTGATACATTAATTGGCTGGTTTATGTAGGAAGCACCTTGATGTGATGATTCAGATACGAGCATGAAATATACGGGAACCAGTGGCGGGCCTTCTCTGCTGGCAAAGCAAAATGTATGCTGTGTAATTATATACATGCAACTAACTTGAACATTATCGCAGTATCAAAGTCAAAGTGTGCACATCCAAAACACAGCACGTTCTTTATCTAGAGTTATGAGTGTAGACTGCACATCTTTTGTCTGCTTCTACCACCATCAGAGTTTAGTGCATCGTGCCTCCTCACCCAGCTGCTGCTGCAGTGAGGCCTGGGCTATGAGCACAGCGCCGTGGGGATAGAGTGGGACAGGTGCCTGTGAGCTGGATGGTACATCTTTGGGACAGAAATAGACCCACAATGAGTCAGAGGGTCGAAAAGAAGGAGGGATAATTCCACTTCTATTTCCAGTAAAGTGTGGCGCTCCACTCGTCCCTGTGATTGTCGCTAGGCCGGCCTGCAACTCTGCTGCACTGTTGCTCACCTTCCCTGCAACAGTGTGCGGCGGCGGTGCGTGACTCAGCATCTCTTTAAAGAGCAAGAACAACAAATGAGGTCAAAATGAACCAGAGGGAGGACAGACGAGGGTGCTGTCTGCCTCGGCTTTAACCAAACAGGACAAGTAACTTCTGTAAAACGTGTAAACAAGCAGAGCAACAACTGTGGTGTATACACCTCTATAGTTAGTTAAATTATGTATCACTAGTGTCATCGCGATTTCCTCAGTTTAAAAATGTATTCATTAATTCAACGTGGAATAAAGGTAAGCCTGTAAAACAACACCGAGCGACTGTAAAATGGCAAAATCCGACTGAGTAGCACACGTACGTGCAACTGCTGTGAAGACACAGTCGAACGGAAATAGATCCAGTTGGGAAAAAGTGATCATTTCTGCCAGCTTTTGCTTTGGCTGCAGCAGAGAGTGTCTCTTTGTAGTGAGTCCAAGTCACTCCGTCAGAGCCGTCGCTGCGTTTCTCTCCAGGCCAGAGAGAGTAAGCAGCAGCAGACGGGACAGTTTCCATCAGCTGGTGCCACCTTAGCCCGGACCTTTTCATTTGTACAACCGCAAAGCTCCACAGTGTTCCAGGGTAACATTCAGTACACGTTTCCTGCCCAATCAGCTGAGTTACGTAAGTACAGACGTCAGTCACATTATGAAACATATTTCAACGCAACTGGCAGGAAGCAAAGTGATCAATCCTGGATGAAACTCATTTAGTTGAATATTCATACTCATTTAATGCAACAACACAATAAAAATATACTGATCTTTTCACGTTTCCTTCATTATTGACCAATAAAATTATTGTCCACAGCCAAGACATACAAAGCTCTGATATGTTCAAAAACACAGATCAAATTCCTATGCAGATATCTGATGATCATCACAAACCACACCTGCTAAAATAACTCTCAAATGCATCCGACGGCACTAACACCCTGAATACAAGACATAAACCCTCCACCTTACCTGCAGCAGACAGGGCCAGCAGGGACAGCAAGCAGCACACAGACAGCAGAGACTTCATTTTGGCTGCCAGGGGCCTTCCCCTCATCTCCCCCGCCTATATATACTGCTCTGGCTGAAGGTCAGAGGGCACGCCAGTGGAGAAACTGCAGCCATATCAGCCATTGTGTGTCAAAGCAGCTGCCTGGCCCCATCAGGAATGTTTGGAGCAGAGCGAAGCACGTAGAAACTGGCTGACCACGCTGTGGTCTTCTTAATCACCTGCAGTGTAAAAGTCATTGATTTTTAATGAGCTTCTATATATGCAGAAGTGCATTTATTGCTTTCTATACCAGCATTCAAAGACAAAAGGTGATTTTTCTTTCAAATGTACACTTGTCACAGCTGAGTGTCTGTAGTAATTGTATTTAGCCTAAAGGAGACTAAAAGGAGGTTTGTGTTCCACCTGCTTATCAGAAACGTGAAGTCACGGCTGCAGAGCAGCTTCTCTTCGCTGCTGCTGAAGGAGTCGCTCCATGTCGCCTCCTGGTGGACGAAGCGGTCCATATCACGCATCATGTAGGTAAAGCAAAGGAAGCAGAAGGGTGTAATAAAAAAAGTACAAATTTTATTTTTTTTTCATCTTTACAAAGGCCTGTTTACCCAAGTTTTTATAAACAAAATATAACAGCTTCTCATCGACCTGGACTGATGGGAAAAATAACAAAAAGTATAAAAAAAAAAAAAAAATGATGCTCGTCATCAAAAATGTAAAACCAGACAAATGAAAAGACAGAAAAGCAGAACACAATAAACAGCTGTTGAGTCGCATCACAGAAAAATAAATGGCAAAAAAAATAATTCTTCCTCATCGTTGATTCAGGCAGTACAGAACAGCAAGTGCTTCATATCAAATATCTCAAATTCCACCAAAAGACAACAGTGCTGCAACACAATATACAGAAACATTTGGGGAGAAGTGCTCAGCCGACCAATCGCAAACCTCGGCCTAAACTCGGCCCGTGGCTTACCATTCGTCAACGAAACACCAAACCCGTAAACAAAGTTTCACAGAGAACATATTAAAAGCCCTCGCCCTGTTTGACGAGAGAAACGCTAGTCTACCAGATAGAAAACTGGACTCAGTGAGCGAAAAATGTCAGCTCGTCTCACACAAGACAGCTTCACACTGAACGCATCAGTCATGTGTTTGTAAGGAAAAAAAAAAGGAAACCTGCAAAAAAAAAAAAAGCCCGCTTTATAGAAGAGAAAACAGCAATTAGTAACATGCATTCAATTGGCAACAGAACATATAAGAGATCAAAAGACAGATACAAAATCCAAATAAAAGGAATGTTTACAGCATCACGTCAGCGGATCAAATTGAGTGTGACGGGAGGGAGGCTCGGAGCAGGGGTTTCCAGTCAACGTCCCGACAAATATAAGCAACGCAACATGAGGTGGACAGACTTGGTGCAATCGGGGAGAGATCTCCAATTCAGTTCAGTACTTTTCATTAGAGTTTTGGACTTTTTGTGTCATCTGATGCACTGAAAACATAGAGTGAACTATTCTACAGAACAGCTGCTGATCTCCTCTTGGAGGGATTCCTTTTCCAAAAATGATGCTTTTTTGGGGGGTTGGAGTCCAGTAAGATGTGTTCAGCCTATATTGTGATGTTATTTGATATTCATGTGAGTATATATATCTCACAACAAGATAACACAAACCCCCCCCCCCCCCAACCCCGCTCTCTAAGCAATACCAAGCTGTGGAAATGACGAGACGAGACTCAAGACACGTAACAAACGTGACCACGTGTGGAGTTACAGGAGGAGTTTGGGCCTCGGCTCGCTGCCGGTCAGCAGAGCACCGGGCCGACAGAGAGACTACATTCTGTGACTGGAGGTGTAATGTACACACCCATCAACGGTGCATAGATAACTTCACCTCACGTATAAACGACACCGACTAATGGACTGAAGATGGAATTGCATAAATACCATAAAACTAGTGCATAGTTACTGAAATCAACAAACCAAGAGCAGAAGATGGACTGGAAGTCTTTGGAGGAAAACCGGAAGCCTTCATTCAAACAGAGCTTGTCAATCACGTCGGTTTCAGATTCAAACATCAGCAGAACTTTACATATTCTCATATGATTAAGTCAATTATTATTATTATTATGAGACAATTTAAGAATTAATAACAGTCACTAAAATGCTGTTTGTTTTACAGAAATGAAGCAATATTTGGTTCTGTTTTATAAAAACATCATTTTTTTAAAGTTGGGGTGAAACGACCACCAGTAGATAAGAAATGAACATTTAAAATCACGATTCATCTCAAGGCCTCCGGTTCTCCGTAAAAACCCGACAAACCTCCAATTTTAAGTTGTTAATCTCAATATAACAAAATGTTAACCTTCGACATTCAGTAACCCTGGCAGGAAAAAAAAAAAGTTAACAAAAACATGAAGAACATTAAAACTAAAAAGACGATTCATGTAAATTATTCAACAGCTTATTTTTTAAGGGCTTATTAAGATATCAAAAACAACCTTTTTTTTTTTTTTCAAGTAAATCAGACATAATTTCATTCAACATCTTTCCTCAAATTTACTTTGCAATTAAGTTTAAATTTGTCCCTAACTTTTTAATTTAGAAATGCCTTCTGTTGTAGTTTTAAGTTGGGTTTTGTGGAAACAAAGTGATTAAGACCGGGGAAGAAATAACTGCAGCTCCGCGTCCCCTTTTTCAGATTCAAGAGCTGCTCGCTTATTGTGTTGTTACATTCAACTCTCGCACGAATAATACTGTCAGCGCGCCGGTGGCGACAGCATGTAGCACATAAACACACGAGGAGGACGGACTGACGCGGAGAGCTTTTTACCCTCAAGTCTTCAAGTAGCCACAGACCGGCTCTGACGTTGAAAAGCAGCCTTTCAGAACCCCCACAGGGTCTCCTCTGCACGCTGACCATCCTACTCTTTTGAGATTTTACAGCACAAGACTGACACAGAGCTTAACCACTGGATTTAGGAGTTTGGATAATGCCAAAAAGATTTTGTTTTTAAAAAGTAGTCAAGCTCCTGGAGGGAATCTTACAGTGAGTAGGTATTTTAAGTGTTTGTGTGTGTATGTGAGTCCATTGGAGGAGGGGGGGCGGGGCGGGGGGGGGAAAATCAGTTCATCGAGCAGTCCTCTCCCTCTGTGTCGGTGTCTGTGTCCGAGCAGGCGGTGTCCATGGCCACGTGGGCGGGGCTAACGATGACGGCTCGTCTCTGCTCCTCCTCGGCGCTCGCTCTCCTCTCCTGAGCGCGCTCGATGTGCTGGATGGCCTGAAAGCAGCGCAACGAGAAACACACTGAGGGCTGCGGCAAATATTCGGTCCAGCCGAGAGACGTCAAAGGGAAACAAGAACTCCTACCTGCACAATAGTGTCCAGGTTCTGCCTGGACGTGGACACGGTGCCGGTGGTGACAGACGGGCTCATGGTCACGACGGTGACGTGATGGTGCGGGTGCTGGGTTAGTGTCGGGGCCGGAACGATGACCGTGGGGTGGTGGGTTGGGGCAGGGGGAGTGGGAGTGGGAGACCCCAGCACCTGGGGGACGCAACAAAATATGTGTCAAGCCCTGCGTGACAGCCCAGAATGCCTCACTTCAGAAGCCTTTTTGTTCAAACAGCAGCGGTTTGGAGTTGCAGAGTGCCTCTGACCTGTGGACTGTGTGGTCGTCTGTCGGCAGCGTGGATCTGCTGCAGCCGTAACAGCGTCTGGGTCTGGAGGAGCGCCTGCTCCTCCTCCACCTGCTGAGTGATCACCTTCAGACGATCCGGCTGCAGCTGGCTGCTCAGAGATCGCATCTGCACACAAACACACAGCAGCGCGCCGGTTAATCACAGCGAGAGCAACGTCAGCAGCAACTCCAGGGCAACTCGAAACACATCGAAGGGCCTTTGAATTACTGCGGAAAGACGGCATCAATAATTACTGCAGAAATGAAGAGCAACGAATGCTGCTATTAAACGATAAAAGTAGCACACGGATACAACCGATGATTGTTTGACAAATAACATGAGTGCATTGTAACAAAAGTAGGATCGTCAAAGTCTTATTTGTTTCCACTTTCATTCCAAGATCTGCTTTTCTGTTGTTCTCCATTGTGCAGTATGGTGTTCTATTAACAGCACTGAATTACTGCGCAGCTCCATTTTGACTCTTGATAATTATCTCAAGCCTGCATCTCCGCTGCTGTTTACTTTTCTCTCTCACTACCCGAGTCTCTGTTTGTCTCCACCACCTGTTCAGTCCCTTTTGTCTTAACCTGCTTTTCGGGTAGATCCAGGATGTGAGCCTATCAGTCACCACCACTCTGATGAGGTGATTATCAGTCACCTCATCAGAGTGGTGGTGACTGAATAGGCTCACATCCTGGACTGATAATCGTGTGCAGGACCCAGATACTGATTAGAAGTTGAAATGGCTGGTAAAACTGAATAGTTTGTCCGGGTGCTTTTGCTAGTTAACGACCACTGTGACATTCCACAGCCTGGAGATAACTTCCCTTATCCACAATGCCTTTGTAAATAAACGCACTGTGAAGTGCTTTAAAACATTGTTTTTGGTTAAATGTATTGCCCTAATGCTTAAAGAAAGATGGACGGAAAACATTTTTTTTCTTGCGATGAACGAAGAATACAATACCAGAGTAAAGTCTTGATTAACTGAAGTGCTGAAATAAAAGGGGGGGGGGGGGGGGCCGCGTTTAACAACAGAAAAGCTATTTGAAAACATCGGTTTTCAAACTCTCACGCAGCATAATCAGTCTCGTTATCCAGTCGTATGCTCACTACTTCCCAAACACACGCATCTTTGACTTTCTCCGTCTTTGTATTCTTCGTTGATCGAGGACACGTGCAAGAAAAACGTGTTCTTCAGGACTTCGGGGTAACACGGGGTGAGTAATGCATATAAACAAATTATATTTTGGGGCAACGTATTTCTTTAACACTGAAATATCTCAATCATATAATTAGAGTGAGAGAAGTTTAACACCTGAGAACCAAACAGTTACTGTGAGAGCTTGATACTCCTGAACTACCTTCTTTCATCGTCTCACCTGTTCCTCCAGCTGCATGCGAGCCGAGCGCTCCTTGTCCAGTTGCTGTCGCAGCTCTAACATCTCCCTCCTCACCTCCTCTACCTTCTCCTCCTCCAGCGTGTCTGGAGAGCCGATCCCTTCATCCTTCTCCTCCGCTCGCCTCCTCTTGGGCGATGAGCCGCTGAACTCCTGGAGGGACACGGTTAAATGTAAAACAACCGTTGTATTGAATATTACATGTTTAATATTTGTAAAGGGATGGAACCAACACAGCACCGGCCTCTGCACAGATTCTGAGAAGTCTCCGCTCTATTTCAAAAAAAGACACGCGCTGTTTGGGCGAGACAACAAAGCGTCAGGTGAACCAACAACGTGGTAAACAAAAGAAACCGGTAAACACATATCTCTCACATGGCTGAATACAGATGGAGAAAGGACTGCACTGTCTTTGCCAAAAAACAGCGTCTTTGTGCTTCGGGTGGAACTCAATGAGAAGACCTTTTTGGGCCAGTGAAAGAATATATTTTCCAGACTACAATTACGCAAACATAATTATTACAGGTTGTGCAGCCTGTTCTCATTCCCAGTTCAAACACTGCCGCTTTGTCACAGACACACAGAGAGAGCATACGGGCCATGTCGCGTGGCTTGGGCTGCATTCGCTCAAAAATGAGTTTGACACAATTATTATGACAAACAATGGCACGGGATTTTACCTGGATGAAGCGTTTGAGCTGGTTGTTCTGTGCCAGGAGCTGCGTCTTTTCCTGCTCCAAGGCAAAGATGTAGTCCGACGTCTGCTGCAAGATGGCCGCCTGACGGGGACGGACCAAATAAAGTGAATAGGAGAATGGTGCACGGACCAAAAGTTTAACATTGTGTCGTGATCTGCGCTTGTCACAAAGCGCCGGTGTTTGCGTGTTTTCCGCACCTTGCTGAGTTTCTCCCCGTCTGTGTGGGGCAGGAGTGTTTTGAGCGACTGGAAGCCCGCGTTGATGCTCTGCATGCGCCGGCGCTCGTTGCTGTTGGCAATCTCGCGGCGGATTCGTCTCTCCTGGTCCTGGGCCGTCTCCGGGCTGAGGGGGATGTTGGCCAGGCTGAGGGAGGAAGGTCAAAAGGAGAGAGGCGCTCATTATTCTGTCCACGGGGGCGCCGTGTCCAATGAGAAGGCACTAGCTCCTCTCTGACGCACATTTGATCCTTCTTCTAATTTTGGATGAAAGTTTCTCCTTTCAAATTATTCTAATACACCGTCAACATCAAAGACAACGCAGCGAAAAGAAAAAGGTGACACATATATATATATATATATATATATAAACAGCTAACAACACATATCTCTGACGTGAATCTGCTCTTCTTGGTCAAGGTTAAAATAAGCAGCAACTATTAGCAACAATCTGATCTCTGACACGGACTACTTAAACCTTTAACCTGGACTCTTTACTCGGCTTTAGTCTGGATCTCACATTCCTCGGTTTAGTCGCCTGGAGATCTTTGGGTTTGGCTGAACTCAATGCCCCCTCTCTCTCTCTCTCACACACACACACACACACACTGCCCCACGAGATTGGATGTTATGGTGACAAACCCCTCTTTGTCATGTTTACTCAGGGGAAGAAATGCGTGAACCATTAAGCCTAAAGGTGATTATGATTATGAAAGAGGTCAGACAGCGCACATGGCTTTAAATAGTTATCTCTATAAAAGATGAGTTTGTGGATGTGCAGCACATAGACTAATGTTCAGAGTTTTTATTATTTATATACATTTACTAAAAAGCTGCAAAAACCAAAACACCTTTATTATCTCATTATGTATGAACATAAATCTTTGAATTGCTTAATTATGCGTCTCCGTTTCATCTTATTTTGAAAAGGTTTCTTACATACAGCTTAATCTACCGGTTAAAGCCCTTATAGTGAATGTAGAGCAGACTGCGGAGCATCAGCAACATTTAATGAGGATATATTGTCCTCTGATGAAAACATGAAGTTGAGCAAATGTCAAAGACCGACTTCAGCCCATCATCATGTTTACTATTGTCATGCTTCAGATATCCGACAAGAAACGGCGCATAAAAACAAATACATCCACCCCGCACAGTTGAAACGTGCCGGTGTTATTAAAGTTTAGAGATGAAGTCAGCTGGTGTCAGCTGGAGCTGCGGACCTTCAACATGGCCGCCGGAGGGCGCGTCGGACAGTCTGGACGGCGGCAGCAGTGAAATGTGACTCCGCCAGCAGCAGCAGCTGCTGCAGGCCCCCCGGCATCATGGAGAACAATGCTTTCTACCGTTAGCACTAAGCTAGCAGTCGCCCTCTGGTCTGCCCCTCCGGGACGAAGATACACGGCCCCTCCGTCACACTTATGAGACGACACGGTTCACTTAAACACGCCAGTACACGCGAGTGAAAGCGAGTCCGTGCAGCCACAACACGGCGAGAAAACGAGTGCGTCCTGGTAGCTAACTAGTTAGCCATGCTAAGCTAATTTTAGCACACGACACGACCATGGCTGCTACGCACATAGCAAAGCCGAACCCCCAAATGCACCGAGCCGCATTCAATACCTCGACATATACGTTATACCATACACGTAATTTGGGTAAAAATGGCAACGGGTGTGCGAAACTGTGGTTCCAAACATGTGATTTTGTGTTTAGCAGCGGAGCGGCGGGGAACACGTTAACTACCACGTGGTTGGCGTTCAACTGGAAGCGAATGTATCGATTTCATGGCGCTAATTTACATATTTCTGAGTGGAATGGCTGCAAAACAAGCCCTTGCGGGTTATTACACGTTACTAGACCAGCCAGTGTAATAACATTAAGCTGAACTATCTTCTATATCCTCGCCGCCAAGTGCAGCAGCTGGCCAACAAGCTGCTAATTTCTACAACCATACTCCTGCTGCCAAGACATCGCAGCGAAGCTAACACCTAGCATGCTAACTGAAGTCGGGCTGCATCTCACGCACACACGCATACACACTACAGAGACACGAGGGATGATTTGTGCAAGCGGTTTCGTATCAACAGACAAATAGTCAGCTACACACCTGCAGAGACCTCCAATAACATCCTTCTCCGTCTTCTTGAAATGGTGTAAGGACGCTATCTTCTCTGTCGGCATCATGAAATATTCCATGCTTTCAAAGCCACCTTCTGTGGTCCGTGTTTTCTGTTTTTTCTTCTTCTTCTGCTTCCTCCTCTGCTGTCCTTGTTAAAACACTGATGATGTACGTTTTTAGCGCCGAGCTCTCGCTGTCCTCATCAATGGCGCATATCTAAAATACGGCTTAAAAATGTGCCAATCTGAAGAATAGACTTAGAAAAATAAAAGTAAGTTCAAGCTGTGTTGCTTCCCACAGCTGATGGGGTTCCCTCCAATGTGTGTGTGGCTTCTTGCCTCCGCCTACTACGTGTGTGTGTGTGTGTGTGTGTGTGTCTGTTGCCTCCGCCTACTACGTGTATGTGTGTGTGTGTGCGTGCAGCTGATCTGTGCGAGGCGGGAAACAGCTGGTTGGAATCAGAGCCCGTTTTCCGGAAAGCAGAACAAACAGAGCAGAAAGAGAGCCAGTGTGTGACTGCATTGCTGCACATATCACCCTCATACCGAAAATGGAAGCTAAATACGACCAGTGACGGTGTAATAGCACAAGTATCAGCATTAGTAACATTAACTAACATTAGTGGGTTAGATAACATGTCTGTTACTATATATGACACATACTGCTGAAATACTTTACTGTAGCGACGCTTAATTATCTGCACAATACACTTAAATTACAGATGTTCACACCACAAGGAATTAAATCACTTACCGTTTCTTTTTTTTATTATAAATATTTATAACTTATCTCCCTCTTATCAACTCTAGATTAACAGCTCTTTTTTTATCAGTATAAATTAAATCCCTTTGGATTGTTAAATCATTATTTTGGAGTTTAGTAACTTGTGATGTCCTTCAAGAAAAATACAAGTTTTAAACTGAAAAGCAAATCATTTACAAAACGCATGAAGCATTTTACCTAACGGGTTGCACAACAGTTTACTATGCAGGGACACGATGATGTAAAAGCTAATGTATACATAACATGTCCGTTATTGACAATCCAACATAGTACAGCAGGTGGCAGTAATGCACCATAACGTTCGTTTCCAACTATTGAATATTCTGCATTTACATGTAAAATGTTACCATCAAAAGAGCTGTAAACATGTAGATCTGTCGAAGTAAAGCTGTTGTGAATAGATGCAGAATACTCTGAGGGTGGAATAAAATGCCATATTTTGGATATAATGGAAATGATGAAGAGAATGGATCCAGAATTGGCAATAAAATCACCATTTTAATGTTAAGCTTTTTTTTTGTGAGTGAGGAGACTCAACCGAGTTTAATTTTAGCAACAGAGTGTTCGGGTGTTAAATCTGCAAGACAACGATTTGTCTCTCAGACTACTGATGTGAATCCAAGAGTGGCTTGGAAAATCAAAGCAGGAAGAACGAATGAACCACTTCCTCTGTTCAGCGTGCGATTGTGTGCATACAGTAAGGCAAACGGCACACATCGATTTAAAGGTCAGCACCTGTTGCCTTTGTCCACGTCCTTCCTACTCGCTGCTCAGGTGAGGCCGCCACAATGAAAACATCTCTTCGGACTACAAATAATGTTCAGTTCTTCTGGTCGTTGCCTACAGCACATAATCGAATTGTAAACAATATCTAAGGTGGTGCTGTATGTAAACAACAAAACCGCAAGTAGTGCAGAAGTAGTGTTTCTTTGCTTTTATTTTTTCCATGCAATAAAAGTTTACTACGCAGACAATAAAACAACATGTCTTTATATATTGTACAATGTCAAAGATAAATATCTGTTCCTTATTCCGCCTTATAGTTAAAAAACAACAACCATATTCTCTCCCCTTTTTCCCCACATATCGTAAGTATGACGAACACACAGAGCTAAATATACAACCTTCCTCCATTCACCTGAAAATAGGATATATTATGCATTCCTGGAATAATACAAACCTGTAGTAGTAGAAGTGTATTTCTTCAAACAAGAAATACATTATATCCTACATTTAGATATGTTCGTGTATCTATTGAGCTTAGTTAGACGTATGCACCAACATTACAGCTCCGCTTAAGAGATTATGATTCAAACGATTAAAAGATGCGTAGCACTGAAGGATATCAGGTAACATTCAACAGAGCAAGCAGCAGACATCCTAAAGGGCAAGTGCATCTTTGTGATGTGATAAAGCATTTCTTTTTTAAAGCATACAATTAGACTAAATTCTGAAATTGAGCACGAAAAAAAGTCTTCTTTAACGGTGTAACAATCCAAACATCATTACAAGTATGATTTCATTCAAACAGGCCTTTCCTTTGGCAAATAGAAACTTGGAATGCTTGAAGACGGTAACGGAGTATAGACATGGCATGATAGACAAATAAAAAGGAACGCAAGGGGAAACCCTCAGAAGTACGATTGTCAAGCCTAACATTAGAAGCCTACAGTGTACATGTAGGTGAGGTCATCCTTCCTCCGTACCATGATGGGAGGTGTCATGCTGAACGCCTTTTGCACCGAGCAAAACACACAAGTCTGATATTGTTGCTTTGTCAAAGTTCAACGATCACTGAGCTGTTTGGGCGCCTCCTGTTGGCACTGATGGTCTGGTTCTCTTCGCAGCAGATTCCTCCACCGCAAAAGTGTAGTTATACTAAAAAAAAAACAAAGCAAAGTATTCTTTGTTTGGAAAATTGCATGGTCTTAATTGAAGGATCACAGGGCTGAAATTGAGTGTCAGATGTGACCCTACCTCATTTTCAATGTCTTGAAGTGACTTTATACGAATGTTGTTTAATTGAGAGTTCAGCTGAAGAGCCTAAAAGAAAGAGAAAGAGAGA